TTTGTGTATATTGTATATACTGAATATATTTGGTTGTGATTCCAAAACAGTCATTTGTTGGAATGTGAAAGGGTGTCACAGCATGCCCACTGAAACAGTTTTATGAACAAAGACTCAACAAAGTCTTACAGTGCCTAAATTTATAAAGATTCTCCTGGTGTGACTGGTGCTACAAACACCATCTACAACCATCAGGAATGCAGCTTGATCAAAAGATTCTGGCTCTATTCTTTGAAACAAAAAATCGGGTAAAAAGTACAACATGAAATGGTTGAGATTCCAACAAAAGTGAAAATCTATTCGCAGCAGCAGTAGACTCATTTATGGGTACAATTGGAAGTGCAAAACAAACATGTAGATATATGATCACCTAGAAAACACATTTTCAGCCTGAACACGTTTGTTATGAAAGCTGTTTTCTCTTGGTTGTTTTAAAAAGAAAAATCAGGTTTCGTGAGCTCACTGGACTATAATATGATAAGCACCCTGAAACCCAATCTAGGTTACGCATACACACTGGGAACGTTTTGCAGTTTTTTTTTTCTTTTTTCTTTTTTAGTTGCCTGCAACAGTCACCAGTAATCTGCCACCCGCCTTCAGTGACTTGGCATTTCCCAGCTTGTGCTTTTGGCAGGGGATAAACTGAGAGCTTTGAGAATTATGTCCCATGGTGAGTCAAGTGATTCAAAAGGGACATTAACTCCCAATTTCGGACTTCATCTCTCTGCCAGAAGAAAGACACAAACATGACAGAAAATGTCTCAGGCTCAAATAGTGGAAAATTGAAAGTGGTCTGGAGTTTAGTGTGGTTGGCAGATATTGGCGAAGCAAAAGTGATGGCTGTGATTGAGACTGTTCTTTTGAAGTAAGGCTACGAAGGCTGTCAGACCTAAATAGATTGTCTAAATTTTGAAGAAAGAAAATATCTTTTTTGGATCTTTTTCTTTTTTCTTTTTTTGCTTTATTGAGATTGTGAAGGCAGACAGACGTGGCTTTTTCTTAGCCTTTGTGGCTTAATATTTCTTTATATTTACTTTTATCAGTATTGAATATGAACTTTGGATGCAGTAAACCAGTATTGCTGAAATCCTGACTGTCCAAGATTACATGTACTTTATTCAGTTCAGTCAGTAAATCGTTGAAAATGAGGCGGTCTGGCAGCTTATTGAAATTGACTGTCAACAAAATATGTGCTTTGCGGTACGACGTAAAAATATACAGCCATATATACAGCCTGCCATACGGTGCTTCCACACTTCCAGCAGGCCATAAGGTGGTACTTTCCACGTTTCAGAATTTTCTCTTCACCTCAGCCACTCCATTACCATGAATGATACCGAGTGATTCCACAGCTGCCTGACTCTTTCTTCTATGTCTATATGTGACTCTTTCTTATTTTAACTCTTGGTGACAGACAATGATAAAGGTTAACTGGAGCTATGTTACATTTTTACTGGTTATGGATTAAGTGGTGAGATGGCTCCAATGGAGACCTGTTACGACTCATAGCAGCAACTACAATTAAAAGGGGGTCCTGTTATGGCTGTGGCTTAGGAGGTATAGCAGCTCATCTGCTAATCTTACTGACTGCTCCAGTGTGCAAGTATCATCGGGCAAGCTATTGAACCCCAAATTGCTTTCTGGTGCATCCAGTGGAGTGTGAATGCTAGATAGAAATGACTTAGATGTAGAGAAAGGGTAAATGGGGAAATGAGGCACTTTGTCTGTATAAAGTGCTCAAGTAAAGTAGAAAAGCACTATGTAAGACCTTTTCCATTTATTGCTAAACTTTGTCTGATTTTCTGGTGGGGTTTTCTCTACCAAAATCTATCTCTGCCCTGCCCTTCGGGCTATCATAGGAAGGAAAAATATATGTCAATGCTTTTGCATTCTTTGGGAAATGTAGCTGGGTAATTATGTCATTGGCATCGGTGAGCCAGAATTTGCGCTTGTTTTTTGCTTTCACTTTGCAGTCGCGCGAACTGTGTATTGAGAGCGACAG